AAGGAATTAATATCCCGAATATAGAGAGAGTACCTAAAACTTAACACCGAAAACAACAAACAACTAGATTTAAAAATAGGCAAAGACTTGAATAGACATTTCCCCAAAGAAGATGTACAAATGGCTTAACAAACACATAGAAAGATGTTCCACATTACTGATCATTATGGAAATGCAAATCAAAACTTCAGTGAGCTACTATCTCACACCGATTAAGGATGGCTACCATCAAAACAAGTATTAGCCAGAATATGGAGAAATTGAAACTTTGTACACTGTTGATGGAAATGAATGTAAAAAGGTGCAGCCTCAGTAGAAAACAGTATAGCAGTTTTTCAGAAGATTAAAAATGGAATTACCACATGATCCAGCAGTTTCACTTCTGGGTATATACACAAAGAATCTAAAGCACATTAGTGAAGAGATAATTCTATGCCCATGTTCGTAGTGTCGTTATGCACAATAGCTAAAATGTGGAAGCAGTCCAAGTTTCCAGATAAATGGATAAGCAAAATGTAGTCTATACATAACAATGGAATATTATGCCGTCTTGAAAAAGGAGGAAAATCAGGCACGTGCTACAACATGAACGAAACATGAGGCCCTTATGCAAAGTGAAATAAGCCAGTCACAAAAAGACAAATACTATATGTTTCCACTTGTATGAAATACTAACAATGACAATCAGAGACAGAAAGGATGGTTATTGCCTGGGGCTGGGGGAAGGGGGAATGGGGAATTGCTATTTCGTAGGTATGGAATTTCAGTTTTACAAGATGAAAAGACTCAGGAAGATAGATGGTGGTGATGGGCACACAATATTATAAATTCAATATAAGTGAACCGTACTTAAAACTGGTTAAGAAAAATGGTTAGATTTATGTGTATTTTATCACAATAAAAATAGAAAAATTATAGTGGAAAATTCTGTGACTATTTTAAAATTTAACATTTATAAGGATTATTTTCCCATAGTCTTAAATATTTTCTACAACTTCATTGATTAACAGATTGATCTACCAATTAATCACCAGTTATTAGATAGCTTGGTTGTTCCAGTTTTTCCCTATTGTAAGGATCATTTCACTGTTTTTTTTTAAATTTTTAATGTTTATTTATTTTTGAAGGAGAGAGAGACAGAGCATGAGCAGGGGAAGGGGGTAGAGAGAAAAGGAGACACAGAATTGGAAGGAGGTTCTAGGCTCTGAGCTGTCAGCACATGAGCCATGAGTTCATAACCTGAGCTGAAGTTGGACGCCAAAGGACTGAACCACCCAGGTGCCCTTCATTTCACTGTTATTAGTTACATTATTATAACTAAATCCTTGAGCATTTCTTTATTCCTTAGGAAAGTCAATGCGAGCAGAAATGAAAATACACACAATTTAATCTGTGCAAAAATACTGCCAGTTCTCGCCTCATAATGTTTGGGTTACACTTGCACCAACAGAATATGGGTCAACCCATCTTCCTTCATCCTGACCCTGAACCATAGATGATCCAGAATGTCATTCAGAGGAGACAAGGTATTATTGGTTGGAAATGCACAATTGTATAGTGTCACGCTCACAGACTGTGGGTCCATCAGACAGATTTGAAACGCACCTCCAACACTTGCTAACTGCATGACTTTAGGTAAGTCATCTCATTTCTCTGAAACTTCATTTACTCACATGTAAGAATGGGAATAATAGTAGAATTCATCCCATCGAGTGTTATAAGATCTTTTTTCTTAAAAAAAAAAAAAATTCAGCTCAAAAAGGAAAGTAAATAAATCAATCCATAACCCATAGCCACAGTCTAATGAGGAAATAGAGAATAGTACGAATTTCAAGTAATCTGTGATCACAGAAATAAGACACTCATATATAGCAGATTTGGATTAGTAGTGTTGGAGTCCGTATAGATGCAGTGTGAAAATTAATAAAGGAAAACCTCACTGAAATGGAGCTGGGAGGCCACCAGGGGGCGTGCTCCCACCACACTGCTTGTTATCAATTGCTGCCCCAACAGGAAATGTTCCCTGCAAGTGGATAGTACCTTAGCTTTGCTGTCAAAGCAAGAGGAAAGAAAGGTTTTCCTCATCCTCTGACTATAGCCCAGCCAATAAGAGACTATCACAACCAATGAAAAGCCATTCTTCTTGGAACTCCCTGTTAATTCCCACTTTCCTCTACAAAAGAGCATTCCTCTCCTTTCTTCTTTGGACTTGCCTAGTCTTCTGTTGAAGCCTGTTAGCCCTGATTTGCAATTCTCTGCTATTCCCAAGTTAACCTATTCTTGCTGGTAAAATAACTGACAGTTTTATTTTTTAGGTTAATGGCAGAGACAGACACAGATTGTACGGAAATGAGATAGGAGCAGGGGGCTTAGCATAGAACAGCAGGCTAATACCTGGTAGATCAGGCCTCTGGTTCCTAAGAAACCGTAAGAAAGGGGTTTGAAAGTACAAGGGACCCAAATAGGCAGAAATGAAAAGACACCACTTCGTAGGGAATGCATGGTGGTATGGAAAGGGGAGCCCACATTGGAGACTTAGTGGCAGCAGACAAGAATGAAGGAAGAGGGGATATCAGTGGGTCTTTGGAGCCCAAACACCTGATTACATAGGTTACTCATTTGCAGAAGAAATGATCTGATCAAGCCCAGTCTCATTTATACCATTTCCATTTGACAATGCACTGCCCCTGCAACTCATTTTAAGAATTCATAGGACAGAGAGCTCCCAATTTGTGACGGATGATTCCAGTTTCAAAGTGACTCAATGTCTCATGGTCGGGCATTCAGTTTTTTACTGGCGTCCACTAGCAAATAAAGAGCTGCTTCTCAAAGGGAAAGCACTTGTCAACAGAAGCAGACAAGGCCTGACCTCAATACTCCAAGGGTGTGTTCTGTGATTCTCCTACTTGAGTGTGCAAATGTTCTAGCCAGCATGTTAATCTGCCACAGACACATTTAGTGAAATTCACAGGCTAGGTGCTAAGACTCAACTGGCGGGCCACTTTCAACACATCCTGGGCATGCTGCAGAATCTTTTCTTAATCTGGGTCTCATTCAAAACTAGCAGCCTTAAAAGAAAAGAAGAGACACATCTCCAAAGGAGACCTCCAGATGGCTAACAGACACATAAAAAGATGCTCAACATCACTCATCATCAGGGAAATACAAATCAAAACCACAGCGAGATACCACCTCACGCCTGTCAGGATAGCTGACATTAACAACTCAGGGAACAACAGAGGTTGGCGAGGATGCGGAGAAAGAACTTCTTGCACTGCTGGTGGGAATGCAGACTAGTGCAGCCTCTCTGGAAAACAGTGTGGAGCTTCCTCAAAAGCTCAAAAATAGATCCAAACTATTTTTGCACTACTAGGTATCTATCCAAAGGATACAAAAATGCTGATTCAAAGGGGCACATGCACCCCAATGTTTAAGTATGGAAAGAGCCAAATGTCCATCGACTGGTGAAAGGATAAAGAAGATGTGTTGTCTATAGATGCTGGTGAGGAAGTGGAGAAACGGGAACCCCCCTACAACATTGGTGGGAATGGTGCAGCCATTCTGGAAAAACAGTGTAGAGATTTCTCAAAATTAATAATAGAACTCCTCTATGACCCAGCAATAGCACTGCTAGGAATTTACCCAAGGGATACAGAAGTGCTGATGCATAGGAGCACATGTACCCCAAAGTTCATAGCAGCACTTTCAACAATAGCCAAATCATGGAAAGAGCCTAATCATGTCCATCAACGGATGAATGGATCAAGAAGATGTGGTTTATCTATATACTGGAATACTACATGGCAATGAGAAAGAATGAAATCTGGCCATGTGTAGCAACGTGGATGGAACTCGAGGGTGTTATGCCAAGTGAAATAAGTCAGGCAGAGAAGGACAGATACCACATGTTTTCACTCATATGTGGAACAGGAGAAACCTAACAGAGGAGCATGGGGGAGTGGGAAGGGGGAATAGCTAAGGAGAGGGAGGGAGGCAAATCATGAGAGACTCTTAAGTACTGAGAACAAACTGAGGGCTGATGGGGGTAGGGGAGAGGGGAAGGGGGTGGTTGACATGGAGGAGGGCACTTGTTGGGATGAGCACGGGGTGTTATATGTATGTGATGATCACTAAATTCTATTCTTGAAATTATTATTATACTATATGTTGACTGACTTGGATATTAAAAAGAAAAAAAACTCTAAAAAAATTTTTAACCTAACAGCCTTACATTTCCCAAGGAAATAGATAGAGGAGAATGCCCAAAAGTGGCCTCTGTCATCTCCAAAATCCAGAGGCCCACCACGCACTTTCTCTTTCTTCATGGTGAACAATACAAAGTGCAGAAACTTGTCTCCTGTCTCAAGGGAATGTCCCCATATGGCCTAGGCCACTGGATCTCTGGAAATACACCAAATGGAGAGTCTTATCCTCTGGCATGCACGTGATAAAGCATGTAGGATACCTACTATCTCCCCTAGGTCAGTGGGCACAATGCAAATGACCTAAGAGACCAGCATGATGTCCCATGGGGTATCAAGTAACCAAAGTCTCTTCATCGTCTATTAGGCCACAGAGCCAAGGAGATGCTCAGTCCTGAGTAAGACAGTGAAGGTATGTACCTGAGTCTCTGCATGTGAGAAAGCTACTTCTGATTATTGAGACAAGGGGTTGTGAAGAAAACATTTGCTAAAGCTGGTCTGGGGCATGAGAAGAGAACCATGCCCCAGAAGCCCGCAGAAGCCAAGGCAGCCTTGAGGCCATGTGTTTCTCACAGACAGACCAGCCTGATCAATGATTCCTCTCAGGCTGGAACCTGGCCTTCTGGAGATCCAGGTCATTGCACAATTTACATCTGCTCCCTCCTCCGCTTCCATGAGAGTCAAGGTCTTCCAAGGGTCCCCACTCCTCCGCTCGACCTGCCACAGGGGCACACAGTTGTTCCACAGCACAGAACTCGCGGTGCTGGCCAGGCAAGCACGCCTCCCAGCCAAAGCAGCCTAGGTGTGGCCTCTCAGTCCACTGAGTAGGAGTGGAGTGCCCAGAGAGCTCTGGGGAACACGGGCCAGGACACCAGTTATCACAATGGAGAAGACCAGCAGCTTCCAGTAGAATTCATAGTCCGGGGTGCGCACACTGGTGGCAAGGAATAGGTCAGCTGGCAGCATACTGTACCCACACGGGAGGGAGCACTGGTCATGGACGTGGGAGGTCATTCCCTATGTGGGCCCTGGCAGGTGACTTTGCCTCTCTTACTAGTCTCTCCCAGGGTGTTGGGGGTCATGGCCAAGCACCGGCAGAGTGCTGCTTGCAGAGTCAGGCTGTCCGAGGAAGCACCACGTACATGCTCCCACACAGCACGCCCTTACCGCCCACCTACATCTGATGATGTCTGTGCTGCTGGTTGGTCACGCTCTCCTTCCTCTGGGCTCCTGGTCCTAGCTCCCAGGATAGGTGGAGAAGCTCCTCCAATACCAGGAGCCCTGGGACGCTTCTGAGGTGGCCAGAGACCCCGGCTTGAGAGAAGCAGGTTTCCACTCCCGACAGTCCTCACTGATGCCCAGCAGGAAGTGCTGCCCTGGAGTGTAACACTGCACCCCTGCCTCCAGCAAGCCCTGCCAGCCCGCCTGAGTTCTTCACACTTGACTCTGTTTCTCCTTTGGGGACATGTGACCTAGTCCCTGGGTTAGTCCAAGGACTACCTCAGAGGAGCTGTGCTTGCACAGAGTAGTCAGGAGTCTATACCACAGTGACTAAAGTCCACTGATTCATCATGAGACCACGGGCGACACTTAGTGGCCAATTAATTCTTGGTAGCATCACCATAAACAACCTGTTTCCCATCACTTGGCTTCTCACTGGATTAAAAATGAGAGAGAATGAGACCATAGGAGGGGGGGTGGGGAAAGGTGGGGACCACTCATTTGATGGAAGGCGCTGGAGTCTCAGGTCCTGGCACTCCATTCCATGCCCCCTCACAAAAGGGGCCATATTGATGGAGGATGGGGTGGGAGATGATAGTGTAGGCACTCACTTCCACACCCATGGTCTCACCGTAATGGAGGAGCAGCGAGGAAACAGGAGGTGCAGACAAACAGCCTCCTCTAGCCACAACTTGACCTCTCTCACTCTTGGCCTTGAACATGTCACTTAACCTCCCTGGGATTGACCTTCTTCATTGTAAGGACAGTAGTCTGAACCTCACAAGAAGAATGAGAACAGAATGGAGGTAGATTAAATTTAAGAGGTCTCCTTGGGTGCCTCCTACTCTGTGCCCCAAAGTATAGCCTCACCTACCTCATTTTTAACTTGGCGCTTCTGACTCCAGGCTGAGGAGTGTTCTGGTTCGCACTGGGAGATACCGCCCATGAGCAGTTTCTCCCCTGGCAGTACTGCTTCAGTGAGCAGATCAACAATGAGGCTTGGCCTCAGGGCCCTGGCAGGGGAGCTAGGGAGAGAAAATAGAGAAGCATGCCAAGGGGAGAGAGATCAGAGCCCTGGGCCCAGAGAAGGGGGCACTCTGGGGTCTGCACTGGGTCTGCAGGGATCACAAACACTGGAAGTAAAATAGGCAGGTCAGTGCACATTTGTTCTGGTTTATTTGACACGAACAAACAGTTCAGACAGGAGGGAGGGTGCATTCCTCTAGACATCCTGGTGCCCAGGATCTGAGGTCCTGGTGGCTTGGTCTGAATAGAGGTTTGGGGAGCAGAATGCTGAGTCTAGCCCCCCACCCACCTCCTCACCGGAGGCTCATGCAAACGTTCCCACAGAAGGTTGAACAACATACAGTATTTGCTTTTGGACACTTTAGAAAATATGAACAGTGATTGCTGCAAAGATACACGCTGGGCTTCTTCTCACAGGCCTTAAGACCTAAAAGGAGCAGGAGCAGGGTCAGAGGAACCAGATCCCTCGAGAACACTCTTCTCAAGCCTGAAGCCTCTCCCAAACACTCTAAAACCCAAGTCCTACTCATGATGCTCTTGAACTTTTCAGGGAACTCAGTTTCTGCCCTTTACCCAAACTTGGTGTTTGGTAGTATCTTAAATCTTATATCCGCCCCCCCAACCACGCCCCCCAACAGATCTCAATGCCTTCCTGGGCCCTCTCCATTCTCGGCAGCCAGAAACCAGTCTCTCATGTGAGTCATGGCCTTGGTGAAGTCACCCCAATAGGCTCTAAACCTCTAAGAACTCAGCAAAGTCTGAGACATCCTGCAGACCCTCTCACTCCCCAGGATTTGCAGGGTCCAGATTGGGAGATGACTTGCCACTTTGCCCCCTCTCTCCTGTGCCGGTCACTGTGTCCAGGACCCCTCACGCTTCCCAGAAAATACCACTTACACTATTTCCCTTCCACTGCCACCATCCTGGTCCCTCTGATGAGAACTCTGACTTGACCCTGTACACCCCAAAACTTGCTTTCATTCTGTACCTCCTCCCATCAATATTTCAGGATGTTTACATGTCACATATACGCAGAAATCCAAGAACAGTTGTTTGGCTTCCCCAAGTGATTCTCGGCCCTGATGTACCTCTCACTACATCATGTACCATTTGTGTCCTGTATTTGGAATGGAGAATCGAAAGACATAGGTTCCCCCTCCACCCTCATTGTTGTTCCCAGTGCTGAGTAAAGAGGCCGGAGAGTCAGGGCTGGGGGCACCCAGAGTCTGCACAGTGCTGTGGTCAGAGCAGGATGTGATTTAAGATTCAGGTCCTCCCCAGAAGGCACACAGCCCCTCCTGGCCCCCTTCCCTCCCCACCCCCTTAGTCCATCACCTACTCTGCATCCCGTTCAGTTTACGGTGCCCTCCCTGGGCCTGTAGCAGCAGCACAGAGAGGAGCAGGAGGGGCAGCAGAGCCTGGGTTGGCATGCCTCTGGCCAGAGTAGAGGGCTCGCAGTCTGGGAGAGACTTCCCTGGAGAGCTGGGTGGTTGTCCCGGGCTCCTCCCTGCCTCCGCTGGCCAAGGACAGTTCCTCCCCTTTGCCTGCCCTGCCCGTGGCCTGTTCTGTGCGACTAGGGCTTCTGCAGACGACGCTCCTTTCATATGACTAAATCCCTCTTTTGCACACAGAAATTTGTTTCCCTGAAAGAAATAATATTTCTATATCTAATTACAAAATAATTTACAGAAAAGAAGAAAACATTATTTTTGTAGGAAGATATAAAAAAACAACCTCGGTCCATCAAGGGTTCAATAGATGAAGAAGATGTATATATATATTATATATTATAATACATATAATTCTATATATTAACATTATATACTTAGTCAGCCCCGAGAAGGAAGGAAATCTTGCCATTTTTGACAACTTGGATAAAACTGAGGCACTGTGGTAAGTAAAATGTCAGACAGAAAAAGGCAAATATTGTGTGATAACACCTCTATACAGAACCTAAAAATGCTGAACAGCATAGTGGTTATAGATAACAAGACTATATTACCTACTTAAAAATTGCTAAGACAGTAGATCTTATGTGTTCTCACCACAAATAAGAAATGATAAGTAAGTGGTGTGATAGAGGGGTTAGATCATTTTACAATACACAAGCATATCAAATCCATACATTATTCACCTTAAATTTATACAATATTATGTCAATTATATCTTAATAAGGCTGGAAAACAATATATTACATATATATAATTATATATGTATTACACACATGGATTTTTTCCAGCTTGAAATTTTTTTGAAATGTATCAATTATATCTTAATAAAGCTTAAAAATATATGTTAACACACATTTTCCAGATTTATTAATATATATTAATTGTAAGTAATATAATCAAAAGTGTTCTAGAGAGGGAGACAAAGAGAATATGGGAAGAATAAGGGCACACAGTTAGGCTCTTAGAGCCCAGATGGAAGAGGAGATCTGTCAGCCAAGAGTTCAGGTCAGGTTCTCCAGGAGAAGGCAGTCATTAACTGTAAATATTGCGGAGAAATATTATATGCTCTCAGAAGTGAAGAAGTAGATTTTCCCCTAAGAGGAGAAAAAGGGGAATCCTGTGGATACTGGGCTCCCAATAGGCTGGGAAGCTGGGAAGAAGCTGGATGGCAGTGAAGATTTGAGCCCTGTTCTGATATTCTAAACTCCAAAGACAATCTCCTTCAATATACAGGTATAGTTTATTTTTAAAATCTATGACACTTTTATCTACAGTTGCAGCGACATGTAATAAAACTCATTAATATAATGAAGGGGGAAAAAATCACATGATACTCTCAACCAAAACAGAAGAGGCATTTTACAAATGCACCACATTCACGAAACTGGCAATAGAAGGAACTTCCTCAACATGATTAAAGGTATCTATGAAAAATACGCAACTATCATCCTATTCAATGGTGGAAGAGTGAAAGCTTTCCTCCCAAGATCAAGAATAAAACAAAAATGCAGCTGTCATTATTGGTTGTCAACAGTGCAGTGAAAGTTTTAGCCAAAGCAATTAAGTAGTGAAAAAAAGCCATCTAAATTGGAAAGGAAGAAATAAAACTCTTTTTGCAAATGACATGATCCCATGTAGAGAAATTCCCGAAGAATCCACACAAAAAAATTAGTAGACTTAATAAGCAAATTCACCAAAGTTGCAAAGTACAAAAATAACATACAAAAATCAACTGTATTTCTTCTATACATTAGCAGTTAGCAATCCAAAAACAAAATTAAGAAAACAATTCAATTTACAATAAGATACAAAAGGATAAAGTATCTAGGAATAAACTTAACCATGAAGGTGAAAACTTGTGTACCAAAAAATATAAAACATTGCTGAAAGAGATTAAGGAAGACATAAATAAATTAAAAGACATCCCATATTTGTGGATTGGAAGATCTAGGATGTTAAAATGGTGATGCAATGGAGTCCCACATACAATTCCAATTGTTCTTTTTTTTTTTTTGCATAAATGAGGAAGCCAATCCTAAAATTCATATGGAATTTCAAGGGGCATGCCATACACACAAAACAATATTGATAAAGTACGAATTGGAGAACTCATTTCAAAACTTACTGAAAAGCTACAATAATCAAGAGTGCAGTTCTGGCATAAGGACAGATATGTAGATTAACAAATAAAATTGAGGGGTGCCTGGGTGGCTCAGTTGGTGGAGCGTCCAGCTTCAGTTCAGGTCATGATCTCGCAGTTTGTGAGTTCGAGCCCCACACTGGGCTCTGTGTTCACAGCTTGGAGCCTGGAGCCTGCTTCAGATTCTGTGTCTCCCTCTCTCTCTACCCCTCCCTGGCTCACACTCTGTCTCTCTCTCAAAAATAATAAATAAGCACTTAAAAAAAAAAATAGAATTGAGAGTCCAGAAATAAACCCACACATCTATGACCAATGATTTTTAACAAGAGCATCAAGACCAAGAATAGTCACATCAACAGATGGTACCGAGACCATTTGCAAAAGATATCCAAATGCAAAAGAATGAAACTGGGCCCCTAAATCACACCATATGCAAAAACTAATTCAAGGTTGATCAATGATTTAAATATAAGAGTTATAAAATTCTAAGATGAAAGTGTAGAAGTAAATCATCATGACCTTGGATTAGGCAATGCATCATCAGAAATGGCACCAAAAGCATAGCAACAACATCAACAAAATAGATAAGTTTGACTTCATCAGTTAAGAACACTTGTGCATCAAATGACTCTATCAAAAAAGTGAAAAGACAATCCATAAAGTGATAGAATATATTTGAAAAATATACGTTTGATAAAGGTCTCATATCTGGGATATAAAAATAACTCTTCCAATACAAAGAAGATAAACAACCCAGTTACAACATTGCAAAGGACTCGAATAGACATTTCTCCAAGGAAGAAACAAATGTGCAGCAAGCACATGAAGATGCTCAACATCGTTAGTTATTAGGGAAATGCAAATCAAAACCATAATTAAATACCACTTCACACTCGCAGGGGTGGCTAGAGTAAAAACATTAAAAATTAATTAATTAAATTTAAAAAAGAAAAGAAGGCACGTATAGGAGGATTAGGAGGAACTTGACGGAGGAACAAGGGGGAGAAGAAGGGCGGAAATGGTGGGGGAAAGGGAGAGAGGCAAACCATGAGAGACTCTTGAATGCTGACAAAAACTGAGGACTGATGGATGTGGGGGGGAGGGGGGATGGGCATGGAGGAGGGCACTTTGGGGATGAGCACTGAGTGTTATGTAGAAACTAATTTGACAATAAACTATTTGTAAAAAAAATAAAAAAAATAAAAAAGAAAAATAAAAAAAAAAAGAAAAGAAAATTATAAGACTTGGCAAGCATGTGGAGAAATTGGAACTCTTATGCATTCGTGATAAAAAATGTTAAATAGTTCAACAACTGTAGAAGCAGTCTGAAATTTCCTCAAAAGTCAAACATATAATCCATCAATTCCACTGCTAGATACTGACACCCAAAAGGGAAAAAAACATACATATAAAATGCATGAAGTACTGATACACACTACAATGTGAATGAGCCACAACCACCACAGAGATAAAACTCCTCACTGATTATGGCAAAAATTCAAAAACACAACCACACAATCTGTTATGAGAAACACCCATGCTCACATGGTTAGTGGCAGTATACAAAATAGTATAAACTTTACGGAGTAGGTTTAGTGATATCTAACAAAAGTACTTATAAATTTACCCTTTTTGGCAAGAAAAACACCTACAAAAATTTGCCCTGATGTTACACCTCCGACAATAGAGAAAATATGCACATGGTTGTTCACTGTAATAGCAAAATCTCGGAAAATACACGAATGTCCGGAGATTGGCCGAATGACTGTTTGTGTGCACATGGTAGTGTGTGTAGAACAGCTGTAAAAAAGAAAAAAAAAAGGAGAAATTGGGGCGCCTGGGTGGCTTAGTCGGTTAAGCGTCCGACTTTCGCTAAGGTCATGATCTCGCGGTTCGTGGGTTCGAGCCCCGCGTTGGGCTCTGTGCTGGCTGCCAGTTCAGAGCCTGGAGCCTGTTTCAGTCTGTGACTCCCTCTCTCTCTGACCCTCCCCTGCTCACCCTGTCTCTCTCTCTCCTAGAAATAAATAAATTAAAAAAAAAAAAAAAAGGAGAAATTGCTATGAGTTGCCTTAGTGTAATTTTCAGGATACATTGTTAAATGAAAACAAGGTACAAGTGAGTATATTTGTGCAAAAAAAAAAAAGAAATTAAGGATTCAGGTGACTAATTATCTTACACAAAACCTCCCACAGATTTGAAAGAAAGGCTGCTGTTCAGCACATTTTATAAAGTTAGTGCAAACTTACTACAAAACCAAGCAAGGACAGTATGAGGAAGCAAAGTTACAGGCATAGCTCTCTTATGAATATAGATATAAAAATCTCTTAAAAATTGCAAACTGAACCAAATGATATGAAAATGATAATATACAATGATCACATTAGATGACTGGAGAAATGCAAGAGTGGTTTAATGTTAGAAAATCTGAAATGTAGGGGCGCCTGGGTGGCTTAGTCGGTTAAGTGTCCGACTTTCGCTTAGGTCATGATCTCGCGGTTCGTGGGTTCGAGCCCCGCGTAGGGCTCTGTGCTGACTGCCAGCTCAGAGCCTGGAGCCTGTTTCAGTCTGTGACTCCCTCTCTCTCTGACCCTCCCCTGCTCACGCTGTCTCTCTCTGTCTCTCAGAAATAAGTTTTTAAAAGAACATTAAAAAAAAAAAAAAGAATATGCACATCCTCACTTCTATACAATAATGTATAGAGGTCCTGGCTGGCACAAGGAGGTATTAAGAACGGCATAAAGTTTAAAGAGAAAAATACAACTGTCATAATTTGCAGATGATGACCCCCCCGCCCCAGAACACTGCAAGGAACACGCCAAGAAATTAAGATGAACAGTGGGAGAATTTAGCAAGGTGGCTAGGAACAGATCAATACACGAAAGTCATTTCTCTACATTAGCAACAAACAGAAAGAAAAAACTAAAAAGTTACCATACTGCTGACAATTTTATTTTAAAAGTCCAAGCCTCTAGGAATAAATGTAACAAAGACCTGCCAGAACTCTACATGGGAAGAATTATTAAAATTTTGCGAAAGGACATCAACAAGATGGATGAGAGACATAACAAGTCTAAGATTAGGGGAATAAAAGGGATGTTGATTTGAAAACACTACCTGGCCCTGGGGTGGGTGTGTTTGGGAGACACTTGGATGTCTGTCATTGGAATACACAATGAATGACCATGCCTCTAATTTGCTCGCTCACTCGCTCTCTCTCTCCTCCTTCGAGCTGTGCCTGGTCAAACCCAGCAGTCCTCAAACAGGACTTACCAACCCATCTTACCAGCAGCATGAAGCCCGGGCTGTTTCTCCAACTTCTGCTGTTGATTCACTTAGCACCTCAGCGGGTGCCTGGGAGCCCCAAGCAACATTTTATGAGTATGTGCTGGGTCTGGGCTCCTGGGAGGCAAGCAGCATCTAGAGATGAGAAGATCTGAGGGCTGAGGATACACAGTGTGAAAAAATATAGTATCATATTCAAAGGTCCAAGGATGTTTTATTGTCAGTAAGATCCAGGTTTGGATCCCTACTGTGTGCTTACTGGGTGGTCTTGGACAAAGTATCTGGGTCTCAGATTTTATCTTTGCAATTGATATAATGATATTGGGGCAGCTAGAAGGAGAAAGTGAGATAATCATGCCTGCACGCACAGTGCACTCTTACTGAGCCCTGGTAAATGCTCAGTAAGAATTAACTACTGTAAATGTTATCAGCCTCATCATCCAGGTTATTCTTGCTGCCTTGGTTCCTTCACGGGTGTGTGCGCCAACTTTTCGAGCATTAACACAGAGAGGAAAATTGAGTTGGCAGAACTCAGGCACCTGCATAATCTCTGCCTTGGAGAATGTTTTGGGAGGGAAGGAAAGAAAGCCTTACATTTCATTCCACATTTAAAAAAATTTTTTTTATGTTTTATTTATTTCTAGGAAAGAGAGAGAGACAGCGTGAGCAGGGGAGAGTCAGAGAGAGAGGGAATCACAGACTGAAACAGGCTCCAGGCTCGAAGCTGGCAGTCAGCACAGAGCCCGACGCGGGGCTCGAACCCATGAACCGCGAGATCATGACCCAAGCGAAAGTCAGACGCTTAACCGACTAAGCCACTCAGGCTCCCCTATTCCACATTTTTAAAGTTTATTTGTTTGTTTTGAGAGAGAGAGAAAGAGAAAAAGAGAGAGAGACAGACAGAGACAGAGAGAGCATGCACAGGTAGGAGAGGGGCAGAGAGAGAGAGGGAGAGAGAGAGAATCCCAAGCAGGCTCTGCTCTGACAGCACAGACCTCAACGTGGGGCTCGAACACATGAACCATGAGATCATGACCTGAGCCAGAATCCTGAGGGCTCAGAAGAAGGATCTGTATACTATCTCAGGTGTATAGGGAGGGAAGACCCTGTTTTAGCGAGGGAAAATCCTGTTTTAGGGGTGTGAGAGAGTGCAGGCAGATCTGTAAGACTGAGGGAGGCTAAGCTAGATGCAAGAGAATGGGGGAATCCAAGGTAGAGTTCATTGGAGAATAAAGGACTAAAATATTTTTTAATTTGTTTTATCTTTATTTACTTGTGAGAGCGAGAGAGACAGAGCATGAGCTGGGGAGAGGGTGGGGGGTGGCAGAGAGAGAGGGAGACACAGAATCCGAAGCAGGCTCCAGGCTCTGAGCTGTCAGCACAGAGCCCACTACAGGGCTTGACCTCATGAACCATGAGATCGTGGCCTGAGCCGAAGTCGGACGCTTAACAGACTGAGCCACCCAGGGGCCCCTCAAGGACTAAAATTTGAAAGGAAACACAAAGGGAGCTCCTGAAAGACTAGTAAGTCTTTGTGAGTAAAACTGGAACCAAAGACCTAGTAGAGGGGCGCCTGGGTGGCTTAGTCGGTTAAGCATCCGACTTCAGCTCAGGTCATGATCTCACGGTTCGTGGGTTCAAGCCCCGCATCGGGCTCTGTGCTGACAGCTCAGAGCCTGGAGCCTGTTTCAGAGTCTGTGATTCCCTCTCTCTCTGACCCTCCCCTGCTCATGCTGTCTCTCTCTCTCTCCCCCCTAGAAATAAATAAAAATATTAAAAAAAAAAAAAAGACCTAGTAGAGGAGGCAAAACTTGAGAAGGTCCACCTCTCTGACATCCCTGGCTCACAGGCTCCTTCCCCACACTGTTCCATTGGTCCCCAAGCTCCCCCAAAGTGGGGACCAGCTCCAATTTCTTGCACTGATCTAATGAGCCATGGGATGACTGGGAGACCCAGGGTGAGAGATGCATACTGGTCTCTGCCAAACTGTCAACAACTTGGCCTTGGCTTTTTTCTTTGGTGCCATTTGCTATTACACGCATAGCCCCCAACTTCATCATCACTTGTTCCTTCCAGGTCAGTATGACATCCTATGGACCCCCTTTAATTGCAAATACTCTGCAAAGAGGTGAATCATCAATGGGTGCAGGGTTCTGCCTACCTGTCTTCAGTCAGATACCCAGACCTCATGGTTTTCCCTGCCGAGGACTCAGGGAAAGGCAGCAGCTACAGACCAAATCTGCTTCCACCTCCCTAGAACCACAGGAGGGAGATCAGGCTGGTTTCCTCGCAGTTCCTTGGGCTTTTGGAGTTCTGAATATTACTCCAGCCTGTTGTTTAAACCCTTCTCTTCCCTTTTCTATGTTCCAGGGAATATCTTGGAACCACCACCCTGCAGATCGGACCCTGAAAACTGTACTCATTTCTGTACTTTGCAGGAAGATTGCCATAACGGATTTCAGTGCTGTTCTGCCTTCTGTGGGATAGTCTGTACTTTAAACAAAAATGTTAACCATGACAGGTAAGGAGACTCTCAGGCCCAGTTCTGATCCAGCTGCCATTGGGAACTCAGCATAAGAGTCTCTTACCAGCCCCGACAGCGGAACTATTTTTCTAACATTCTCCTTCTCTTTACCAACAATAATTTCCTTAAATGTCCTGATTTAAAGAGCCTTCCTCCTCTCCCAAACTTCTTTCTCATCATCATCACATTGGTGAATCTCCGAATATGCCTCTCTGAACTCGCACACAAATGCCTCCAACCACAGACCGTGCCCTGTCCCAGGTCCACTTTCATCCAGAAGCCTGGGACATTATATCTGGGGCTGCAAGTCTCACCAAAATCCCAAAGTCAATCTGTGTTTTCTGTTTTTGCTTTACCTCTTTCACCAAACAACAAACTTTGGGCCCCAGTGTTCCTGGGCACTGCACGTCCTCCCGCCTAAGCAAAACTTTGGTTAATTGCTAACGCCTTAGCACTGACCCCAAGTCTCCTGAACGGAAGTCGTCCCAGATCAGAGAAAGGGCATTAAAGAGCTATGAGACACCTGGTTTTCTAATTCTATCTTCCAACTATGTCTTTCTACAACCTTGAGCAAGACAGTTTCCCGTGTTTGCCTTTCTTTTTCTCATGCATAAGGATAAGGACTCTTTAATTCAGCCTTGCAAGATTGCTATAAAGACCCACAAGGCAAGAGACTCAATCACTGAGCTCCTAAACTGTCTGGTTCACTGCAGTATCCCCTGCCCTGCATACAATCCCCAACATAGGACCCAAGTACAGATTGATGAAGTAGGGCCCCAGAGCCACATACCTAGATCCAAATCCTGGCTCTACCACCTCTTAGCTGAGTGATCTCAGACAAGTTAATCAACCTCTCTGGGCATCAGTTTCCTCATCTTAAAGACCGGAACAGTAAGACTGAGATTAAAATAGATAACCCACGATAGCTCTAAAAACATGACTCACCACATGTTAATTACTCAGTAAATTTTGCAATTAGGCAACCACTTCTCTTTTAAGAGGTGGGCCTTTGCAGTGAAACTTCACACCTTTCCAGGCTTTACAATGGAAGGCAGAAGCATAAGTAAGACTTTTTGTTGTCACTTGCTTCTTCGAGCTTCTGCTTTCCCTATGGCAGGGAAATTTAGCTTTATGGTTCAGTTTTAATGATGGAAATAACGGAAAATTAAACAACTACATTTCTTTTTTTAATTTTTTTTAAAGTTTATTTGTTTATTTTGAGAGAGAGAGAGGCAGAGAGAGAAGGAGAGGGAAAACCCAAGCTGACTCTACTGCCAGCATGGAGCCCGACACAGGGTTCGAACTCACGAACCAGGAGATTATGACCCAAGCTAAAACCAAGAGTTGGACACGTAACCAGTGGAGCCACCCTGGCACCCCTAAATAACTCTATTTCTAAGAACAAAACTTAACGAGAGAATATTTGGAAATGTTTCTCTTCTAGAGAATCAGACACAGGAATGTAAGAAACATCATGGCTGGTAACTGAGGCATGTTTCCCAGAGCATTTTGTAAGTATTGGGGTTTGGCCTGGCATTCCCAGCATAGGCTTTTCCAGTTTTCCTCCTCTCTGGCTCCTCTGCCATTCCTGCAATGTCAGAATAGCCTTCTGTCATCCCAATTGCACCCTGTTCCATTATCCTTCCCCCCCCCCCCCGCCCCCCACCTCCACCAGCTATGCTCTCACTCCCTGGAGCAGAATGTGGTCCAGAGTGAGTTCTACCACACAGAGCAACATAAGGAAGCAGAGTCATGGCCTCAGGGGAACACAGGGCACTCACATCTGAGCCACTGCCAAAGAACAGCTTCAGCCTGAGGGTTGATGATATCCTAGGCGGGAAGTCAAGCTGAGCCCTTCACACTCTGTGTGGCCTTAGTCAGTTTACTCCACGCCTCTGAGACCATCAGCTTCCTCATGTGAGGGATGAAGAGAACATCCATGGGTCAGGTTTTGTGAGGATTACATGAGGCCACGTGGAATGGAAGAACTTGATCGTTGCAAAGGCTCTGCAAATGTTAGCAGCTGCCAGCAACCAATTCTTTCTGGGTTTCAGATTTTTCCTCTTAAAAAAGAAAGGGGATCATCTTTATGATTTTACCAATGTTAAAAGAAAGCTGAGGAAAATAGAGTCCTCTGCAGCACCACCACCAAAACAAAGCTACAATTTATAACTCAGTGGATTTTGTTTCAGATTGTTTGGAAAAAAAGGAGGACCTTGGGGTCTTCTAACAGTCCTTCTGAAGTCATCGGAGTTGCCAAGGGTTATTTCACCTTATATAGTCCTTTTATTAACGCTATCCAAAGGACTTTGATCGATGGTGACAAGTGGAGTTCAGTGGAGGAATTGACACAGGTGAATATCACCTCGTTCAGACCCTGGTGAGTCAGCCATGCTGACTTCCTCTGCACCTTGTACATGATTAGCCGCTCATGCCACACCCTGGCTCTCCATCAGTGCGTCCCCACTGTCACATAATCCATGGCCTGCACAGTGGAAGATAGTGAGCTCCTAATAAGAATCCATGTGTTCTGTCCGGGTGAAAGATAACAGAGGTGGCTGGTGCAACTACATATAGAGTATTTTTATTGCAGTTTCAGGGTTGTATGGCTACAAGTGTATGAGCCTCAGCAAGCCTCAGCTTAAGCACTGCCCAGAGAGACAAGCCTTCATCTCAGACAAGTGGAAAAACACTGCCATGGACCTGAGGGTGTCTTCTAGAGAACTAGGCGTCCCCATCCTGTTATCTTTGGGCAGGCTAAGACTCTGCCCTCTCATGTGCCCCATTGACTGCAATATCTGTTAGATCCACGTCAGAATGTTTGCTCTCCCCAACCCTGCAGCCTGTCCTCTGCAGAACGGTTCCCCTCGACTGACCATTACTGCTCTGGAGGCCCTGGAGTTGGCTGGGAAGCTCGAGTGAGGGAGGAGATGGCAGTACCAGTGAGAACTTGAGAAAAATGCTCATTTCTTATTCCCAGAAAGTGCTGTGTTCAGTTTCCCGTGGTGATAAAATGCAGGACAGAACAGCACTGGCATACCTGGCCAGCATCTTCCATATCATGTGGGCTCTGGTGGGTGTTGCCAAGGGCTTCCAACTTTTTAAATGTGAGCTAACGCTTTAGCCATGCTTCACTTCATTTGGCCCCCGCAGCAGCCATAATATCCAGTTTACAGGCAAGGAAACTGAGGATCATAGAGTTAAAGTCACATGCACAACATTCGCCAATGGGTCGATGGTGGAGCTAGAATATAGGAAAAGAAGTGTTTTAGGTCCTAGCTGCTCTGGGACTCAGCCCAGCTTTGCCCTTGCTGGCCTGGGGGAGCTGGGAATTTCCAACTCCTTGGGGCCTCAGTCTCTTCATTTATAAGTGGAGCTGAATAACGCCTACCTTCAGGAGTGTCAGGAGACAAAATGAGATGATGCAAGTAAAGCACGTACCGCAGCACCCAGCAGACAGTCTAAAAAGATTGTTGCCATCATTCCCAATTCTTCTTCTATCCAAAATTCTTGGGGCGCCTGGGTGGCTCAGTTGGTTGAGCGTCTGACTTTGGCTCAGGTCATGATCTCGAAGTTCATGGGTTCGAGCCCTGCACGGGCTCTGTGCTGACAGCTCAGAGCCTGGAGCCTGTTTCCGATTCTGTGTGTCCCTCTCTCTCTGCCCCTCCCCTGCTCACACTCTGGCTCTCTCTGGCTCTCAAAAATAAATAAATGTTAAAAAAAAATTTAATTCTTGTTTTAGAAAAGAGCCAAAGTGTATCTTCCATCTGAAACTCTGTGTTTTTAAAAAATTTCTCCAGGTTACGAATGAATTGGCTCCCAAAGAAAATAAGTGCCATGTCTCTGACCTTTGAAACATCTAAAATGGAATAAGGCATAGTTGTGGAAAATGCTCCATCCCTGAGAGATAATATGATTAAACCACATGACGAAGAATCAGACAATTTAACGATGATCTTGATGCCTCTACTCAGGCTCCAGCAACTATGGAAGATGTTTCTTCCCCCTGAAAATCCCTCGGGAAGGTACCGACTGGGAAATCTGCAGTCACCTAGTCCCATGAGACCACTCCCCCAATCACACCCTGTTCAAACAAACTTTCTCCAAGATAAATGTATCACAATTCCATGTTGCACTCCTCTCTTCTGTTTCCCCCTTTCTAATCCAGCTAAGCCCTGGTGACCCCTGGGCCTGAACTGGAAACATTGTTCAAAAACTCTGCAGGCTCCTTCACCACCATGACCTGACCTGATGTGGTCCAAGTTGACCTCTGGCACTAAGAGTGGCCCATTCAAACTGCAGGTACCACTGTTTGAATCACCTGAGTTTGATCTGTCCGTTACAAGAACACTGGGTCCTGGGATTTGTCAAAGAGGAGGAGATATGTGTACCAGGGTCTGAGAAGGAAATCAGGGCTACAATAACCCAAACCCAGAGGCTAGCCCCAGACCCTTTGACTGCAAGGGATTTCACAGCTCCACCTAATATCAAGCTTGCACCCCCATTTCTGCCCATGGAACCAACAAAGAGATAGCAAGCTTCTCATAGCCAGGTTCAACCATGTCTGGGCCCGTATCTCCAGCATGGCAGTGCCAAGCAACTAAAATACTTCTCTCCACCCAGTTGTCCACTATTTTTTAATCATATATTGCTTTTATTACCTACCACCCCAGATGTATTTCCTTTTTTACCCTCAAACTCATGGTTGGACACAGACACAATTCACATTTCTTCTTCCCACAACCTTAGAACCAGATGGATTCTGTGCAATTATTTGGTCTAATACCTGCACTTTAAAGTTAGGGGCACCTGGGTGGCTCTGTCAGCTGAGCGTCAAACTTCAGCTCAAGTCATGATCTCGGGGTTCATGGGTTCGAGCTCCACATTGGGCTCTGTGCTGATAGTTCAGAGCCTGGAGCCTGCTTTGGATTCTGTGTTTCCCTCTCTCTCAAAAATAAAATTAAAAAAAAATTAAAGTTAGAATAACTGATACAGAAAGAGAGGATAGGTTCAAGACCACATAAAAAGAAAGTGCCACTGGTAGAATCAATATCTTGGGTCTTGTTTTGTCCTCATGAGTTTAATGGGCGGAACACAGCATTTGATGCAGAAGCAGGCAGTACACTTCTCTAGCTTTCAGATCGCTTGTAACACAGTGTCCCTACTCAAGCAGGCAGAACTCCTTCATCTGCAGCACGTACGCAGTCAACCAATTTTTAGAGTGCCACCTCTTCTCTCATAGCCAAGTTTTCAAGACTTACCTGGGGACTCTTATGAAAGAAAAACGAAGTATCAGGAACAGTGGCCAGGGGAGCAGTTGGGATTCCATGAAGCTCTGATAGCATTAGCTTCATGGTGGTCCCCCTGCCAGGCACACACTTCCTGACTCAGGGGGATTGGTCTGCACTACTGGTATGTCCATTCCCACCATCAACTAGAGTCAGTTTACTAAGCTTTTCAAACACAGAGTAACTAGTTACTACCCTGGGCTGCTTCCAGGAAACCATTCACTGAGAGAAGTCAGAAATGGATTCTACATTCCATCAGTCTTTTGTCATCATTTAGGCATTCCATCCTAAACTGAGAGCAAAACTGGGGGTTCTGATTACAGGAAAGAATACCTCCTAGTGCTTTAGGAATTCCTAAACTAGAGCCTAGCCTCACAATATTCTAATTCTCTTTCAGGGTAAAAGCTAGGGCAGGAATGTAACCTTTCCAAGGGGTCTCAGTCCTGCTCTAGTATACCATTCAGTCTAATCATGTGGTGAGTAAACACCCAGAAGGGTTCAGATGAACCTCCTACTTGATTTTATTGGGACAAGATGCAAGAAATGTTATCTGAGATAAGACTAGTCTTTTAGGTTGGAACCTAATTGTTGGTGGCTCCTCTTGCATTGAGTTCCCATCTTCCCTGCTTCACTACCTCTCAGCCGTTGGGGCAGGACAAGATGTGCCAGGTACCTAATGAACAAAGGGGGATCTTAGGTCCCCTGGGCCCCATCCCACTCTTTCCACCTTCAAAGCAGCATGATGTCCCAGAAAAAATAATTTAAGTTAATATGAAGACATGGGTTCCCATCAATTTATGGTTTTATTTATTGACATTCAACCTTGTTTTGAAGGATTTAAGGCAGCTTGCCAGGATTCATGATACATAGTATTTAAAAAAAAAATTAGCCTGTATAAGTAAGTCAGAGGAAAACAGATACAAAAATAATAAGGTATGATAAAACAATGCAGGAGATTAGCATAGCAAGTACATGCTACAAGGGTCACAGACACTTGCTATGAAATCTCACAACTAGGGCACCTACGTAATTCAGTTGGTTGAGCATCCAACTCTTGATTTCAGCTCAGGTCATGATTCCAGGGTCATGGGATGGAGCCCTGTGTTGGGCTCCACACTGAGCATGAAACCTGCTTAAGATTCCCTTTGCCCTTAACTCGTGCTTGCTCTCACTCTCTCTTTCTCTCAAATAAAAAATAAATATTATAAAATTAGCTCTAAGCTTTCATAATAACAGCACAATCAGGGCAGTACAATCAGTTACAGCTTTAGAGTAAGCATAAGTGTAGCCCAAAAAGATACTCAGGAACAGTAGAAATAATCATGGTAGTAAACACAAAAGAGACAAGCTCTTCCACATGTGCTCAAAGAGGAACGACTGTGCAGAAAGGTGAACACATTGTCCATGACAACCTCATGTTAGATTCTAGAGAGTTTTCTGGGACTACTTCTTTAAGGGTTTTTAAGCATAAATCAACAATACACAATTCAATGACAAGAGCTCTTTGGAGGCCCTACATGGTGTCATCCATGGGTGTGTTTAAAGAATCCAGAAGAAAAAATGCACTTATTATCCTCTCTTTCCCCACAGGCCTCCACAATATTGTTTTTCTTAGTCCACTTTTAGGAAGGCATTGAGAAGTAGTAAATTTGAGGCCAGTCTCCCCAACAAAATCTGACCTGCAAATAGATTTTTGAGTTTGACAGAAAAGACTAATTTACCATGAGACTCGTGTAGTTTAAGCTCCAGATCCCTCACCTGCTTCTCTCAGGATGAGGAGAGGAAAGAGCAACACCATCCAAGCATGAAGGCAGACAGCACTGTCCCAACCCAAGATGGGGGGGTGGAAGGGTGGTGGGCTGGGGGGTACATCCCAATAGTGACCTGAAGTTACTTCTGTGTTCATGTCTGGACAACCCTTACTGACAATCTGCCCCTGGTTGCACCCATCAACCGAAATGCTCCCATATTTGACCTCAAGGAAAAATAGCAATAAGATGCTGTACTGGAACATGCTTGAAGCCAGAGTTCAAGGTCTCATGGCCATATCATGAACCCAAGACAGGCACAGTGAGGGTGGTGAGGACTTGGGGCTGGATCAGTGGCTATTAGGCTGCATCGAGAGTCCATCAGATCCAGATCAAAGAGCTAGAATTCTCCAAGGGCTTTCCCCAGGCATGTAGCACCACCTGAACCAGAAACTATGAAGAAAAGTTACAGATGTGGCTTTACCAATGTTATGAATCTGGAAAGGATTTTTCCCAATCAATAACTTATTTTTTTATTGAGATATAATTGCAATGTGACATTGTGTACATTTAAGGTATACAACCTGTTGATTTGATAAATTTATATATTGGAATACAATTACCACTATAGCATTAGCTAACCTCTCTATCGAGTCACATAACTCTTATTTCATTTTTGTGGTGAGAATAATTACAATCTAGTCTCCTAGCAACTTTGAAGATTATAATACAATATTGCTGACTACAATCACTATGCTGTGTATTATTAGCTCTCCAGGACGATAACTTTACGTTTTTGATCAACCATGCCAGAGCAAAGACCGAATTATCTTTCTATTTTCTCTATAGAAATAAGATATTAAAAAAATCACTGTTATAAAAAGGG